TCACTTATTCTAATTTCCGCGTCGATATCTGTTACATTACCCACACTTAACGTGCCAAAAATGTGGTTTATTATATTTATCATCTCCAATTATTCAACCGTCCTGAGTATGACGATAAACTACATCCGCGTCCTGGGTAAGACGATTTGGTCCAGGCTGAGGCTAACTCTGCCTCTCTAGCAGCACATGGTGACCTTTTACCTTTGGAACATTAATGAATCCGACCAGTATGGATCTGGAGTCTTAAAAATGCCTTCTCCAACTCGGGAGTATCTCCATATTATATGTAAGATCTTTTATTTTTGTTTTTTGTTTTTCTCACCCTCTGCTTTGTTGTCTAGATATGTGATAAATTGTTCTCCACGTGGGACATAAACAAAATTAATATATACATATATACACATTGTGTATATATGTATATATTAATTTCGTTTATGTCTTACTAATATAAAAGTCTCTCTGAGAACGAAGCATGTTTGTCATTATTTTTCCTTTCAGTCATTCCGTCCGTGACATATCCGTCCGTGTTATATCACGAATATAATAATGCCCATGACAGGAGAATAAATTTTATTTCCAAGCGCACCCGTTACAAGCTAATAAAACCAGTGAAGTGTCAATAATTTTTTCTTGATTTGGATATTTTGAGTGGCTTGGTTACCACCCTTGGCGTATAAATTTCATTATTTTGTCATGACTTCTGTCAACCAGAAACATCTAGCATTAATCTTTGCATTCTCAATACTTTAATAAACGGCACATTTCTTTTGCGTTTAAATTGTATTTTCAGCTTTCTTATTTTTAATGCAATGTTCCTTCAAGGACGTAGGTGATCATTACTCTCCACACATTCCTTTAATTTATTATCTGTGAATTAACATGGCATAACATAGAAAGATAATAGTGGTTTACGTTGCCTTCAGTTTAGAATAGCTTTCATTCTTGCCCAAGACAACAAATACTAGTCTACCCTGTTGTTTAACCCCCTAGCTGGGGGGATTAGTCGGATTAATGCTGTTTTCAAGGTCTTTCGTGTGAAATTGAATGCAACAGACGAACTCGAGATTTGAATTCGGATCACTTATTCTAATTTCCGCGCCGATATCCGTTATATTACCCACACTTAACGTGCTGAAATTGTGGTTTATTTTTTATCATCTCCAATTATTCAACCGTCCTGGGTATGACGATAAACTTCTGATCAGAAGGTTTTGAGGAGCGTGGCACCACCGCTTAATTGCTGGTGTTCCAGGTCCACCCTGACCCGTGGTGGTAGTACCTGTTAGGGTCCCAACTATGGGCAAATAGTTAACCTCCAAACTGGGATCAAAACACTATGAAAGTGTAAAGATAGGTTTTAATACCAGAAATACTTTGTAAAAAATGATATTACAAACAATACATGTTTGGAAAAACAAGCTATTGCCAGCTATATATTTTTAAAGAAAAAATATTACAAGAAATAATACAGAATACGCTCATTTTTATTTTTATTTAAATAAAAGAGCAAACTTTTTACCTAACAATATCTTTCTATAAGTTTATAAGTTCCCACCAATTTTCCAGTAGAGTGTATTTTAAGGCTTTTAACGACGTAAAATTGGTTGATTCGCTTATAATTTTTTATGCTTGATCACGCGTTGTCTGACCTGAATGCTTCTTAAAATTCTCGTCCATTGTATTAGTTTTATCATTAACCTAAAATCCCCATTTTGTAACCTGAAAACCAATCCCAGTGCATAATTGTACTTACTACTTAATTACCGTTATGTTTCTTTACATTCTGCCAAAGATAACACTGAAAAATCTTTTGTTTTATAAACTGCTCTCAATTAATCATCTGAGAGACCCCCCTCTCTGCCTTTCATCAGAATGACTGATGCTGACCTCCAGAAGAGTAATTTGTTGCGTCTTCTCGGTTAACATGAAGAGGAAGGACTATATGAAATTAATTGCTAGGCCAGCTGCTAAAAAAAAAGTTGATTCATAGTGTCGTGCTAGACAATAGTTCTCTCCAGAATCTATCTTACATATTTATAAGTCTAACATTGATGCCACATATGGGCCGGTGTTCCTGCTATTTATTTAAATTTCTTTGATAAAATCCAAAGAAAAATCAGCAATATTACTGGTTCTAATCTAGCGTCTCGACTTCAGTCACTTTCCCACCGCGGTAAGGTTGCCTCCGCGTACCTTTACTGTAAATATATTCATGGTAATTGTTCGGGTAAGTTCTTCGCTATGGTACACAGACAATGAATTGTACATATGGGGTTTAGTTAGGACTTTCATGGAGACAATGAGGTATTATGGTGAATGTAGTAAGAAAGGTACGTAAGAATGCGTTGTTTTGATGTAAAGAATAATGTTTGGGTCAGTGTTTGTGGCTAGCTAAGTTTAACGTTAAAACAGAAGACCGTCCTCTTCCTCATTTCCTATTTTGGCCCTGGGCCACATTTTGTACACAACAGAATAAATATCGCTCTTCACTATGGTATCTAGACCTTTTTTTAATTTAAGTGCAGTACAAGACAGGCAACGAGAAAGATTTACAGTTGAGTTGGATAGATGCAACCGTAAATTCTATGCTAACAGTCTCTTTTCTCGAACTTCTCCTTTGTGGAACCTTCTTCCGGTTCCATGCTTCTCAGCCAACTTTAATCTTCAAAAATTTAGATGCAATGTCAATCACTATCTACTGTCCTCCTGATTATTATTCTTTTGTTCTCCGTCCTTAGTACTGTTTGTAATTTTTTTCACACCCAGTAACCTCTTGCGTCTTAGTAGCTTTATTGCTTTGCATGGGGTGAAATGATTACAAAATAACTGGAGATAAACATATAACATAATTTCTACGTTTCGTTATAAACGTCTCCAGAAGTTTATATTATTGCAAAAAGATTTTGACAACTGCACAATTCTCATACCATTTTTGCCCTCCGCCAGTATGGCTGATGGTAACCTGCAGGAGAGCAACTCCCTGCGCCTTCTTTGACTCACGTTTTCTACTGGCATAAAAAATTAAAATAATAGAGATCAAAAAATGCATATATATATATATATATATATATATATATATATATATATATATATAGATATATATATATATATATATATATATATATATATATATATATAGATATATATATATATATATATATATGAGAGAGAGAGAGAGAGAGTGGCAGAAATACTTCCTACAAAATGGTAAGACATGAGCTAGATGAAGATACCATTGCCACTATTGTCTTACAATGATGTGGGAGAATTTCTGCCGTACCCTGTATAAGATAAGATAAGATAAATAAAATGAGTAAACTGAAGGTCAGGATTATAAATCATTAGCCCTAAACAAAACAAAACTGGTTTTATCTTCTCCACACACACACATCATAACTAGTATACTTAATATCGAAAGCCTACACAAGAAATAACGCATCATCTAATGATCGCTAAGGAGTGAGCCTGTCAGTCACCATGTATTGTTGATCCTATGGCCATACTGTTGATTTCTATATTATAATATATTATGTTTCTGGATGTGATTTGATAAAGTTTATTTGGAGTCTTCAAAGATGACTGTCTTTTAAGGAAAGGATAAAGCAAAGTGGTCTTTTCGATTTTGTTATTTCAATTTAGACTCTTCCATAGATGAGGTTATTTTGAGTTATGAGAAACCTTGTAGAATTTTGACCTGCGGTCAGAAGCACATCTTACTAAAATCTTTATGAAGGGCAACTTTTTGTATGAATCACTTTCGTATGACTCGTCTAAAAGTTCTCCCGTTTCCTGTTAAAACAGGTTTTTTCTACGTGATAACTGATTTGAACCATTTTTTTCCGCGTGTAAATTCAGCTCTACATCTAAGAGATTTGTCAATTTATTTTTTATTTTTTTTATTTATTTTTTTTTTTTCATTTTTTTTTTTTTTTTTTTTGTTATTTTTTATTTATTTATTTTTTATTTTTATATTTTTTATTTTTTTTTTACGGCTTATCAGCCTTTTACATCGAACAGAGATAAAATCTTTTAGGAACTAACGGCCCGTTTTAATGTATCCTCTTGCGATTTATGTCTTTGAAGATATTAAGAAGAATAGTCATCCTTTCTTATCAAATAAGATGACTTTTTTGTATTAATCATTTCACCCTAATCAAGGCACTAAAGCCACGAAGAAACAAGCTGATTACTGAGTGTGAGAAAATATGAGAAAAAAACATTAAGAAAAGAGAACAATGAAAGATGAATTAAGAAAACACAATAACGATTAACATTGCATTTAAATTTTTGAAGATCAAAGTTGACTGAAAAGCAAGATGCCGGAAGATTCCATAAACGAGAACTGCTAGAGAAAAAACTCATCATGGAACTTCCGGTGACATCTAGCCATTTCAATTGTAAAATGATAAGACCTTTCTGCCAACTTAGTACTGCGCTTAAATTCCGAAACTAATACAATTAGAACTAATGTAATGCAATATTTATCATTTACCGATTTATAAAGAAATAAATATAAAAATAATTTTTTATTCATAAATTTATAAACATTTACTAAATTACTAAAATACGTAAACCAACTATAAGGAAATATTTATTTATTATTTTATAAGGTTTGAATCGATTGGCAATTAGCCGATGTTTTGCCAACCATTCGATAAAGAATATAATAAAGTGTGGTAATAAATAATCTAATAAATAGTGTTTAATATTTTTCTTGTAAATTCTCAAGAACAAAAAAAAAATATATATATATGAATTCATTTTCATCATATGTTCAGTTTTATTACAATACTAAACCTCGTTTTTAAAACAATGATCATTGCCGAAGATTGAAGTTAATAATAATAAAAAAAAAAACGGTGTCATGGGAAAAACCGTCCTTTTGGTACTAAGTCTTACTAAGGGTCCGAAGTTTAATGTTTGCCGAAAAAATCGAACAGACATGAATAATTTTCAAACAGCTTTAATATTTGTTTTTTTTTTATTTTTTGATACTTCAGGGGGCCTGGTTGTGATTGTGATGCGTAAAGAGTATCTGACATATGTAGAGGACTACAAAGACTTGATTCCAAGGATGAAACAAATGGAGGAAGACAACAAATGGAAGATTTTGTCTTGTAAAACCGTGGAAGGATACTCATTTAACAAACAAGGATTGGTGTTTATTCTTAAAGTGTTACAATCTAAATGCTAAACAATGTACTTTGTACCAGAAATGATCATTTTATATTAAGTAAAATTCTTGAAATAAATTTACTGAAAATGATGAAAATTGTTTACTTCATGCAAATATCATGATTTCGAAATCGTTTTAATCTTTGATTTTGAATTTTGTTTTCAATCGCGCCTCATATTCTTTTCACCGAAATAAAAAAAAAAATGACACGACATATTTTTAAAAATGTTTAATGAGAAGATAAAATTTCTTATTAGATCGATTGTTGTGGTTCCAGAACAAGAATCCCTAAAGTGATCAATATCAATACCTGGGAACAGATGAAACTATTCAGGTGTTCGATAAATGCTTAGGGGATCGATGAATAAATCATGGTGGCTAATGACTAAAAGTACATTCTCCCCATTAATGACAACAACTCAGTAGAAAGTTAAATAAATGTATTTTAATGTTTTTCCTTATTATTTATGTTTGCCTATTATTATTACTTATTATTATTCGTATAAACATATATAAAATACAAGGTTAAATAGAAAGTTCTAAAGAAATAACAAAACGTAAAGCTTAAATTAATTTTATCAAGAAACAATAACGAAGTAAGACGGTAAAAGAAAATCTAACTTTAAGTAAAAAAAAAAAAATTATTATTGATATCTGTGCCTAGGTTTGATGAGTGAGTGAGTGATGTGTTTTTACGGCTTATCAACTTTTTGTAGGTTATTAAAAGCCATAAATGTTTTTTTTTATATTGCAAGATTTGTTTGGTTGTAATAATGATTTACTGATAAAGTACTCTTAATTAACACATCGCTAGGTGGATCCATACCTTTCCCGAGGGTATTTTCGCGTAAGTGGATAAAATGAACTCGACCGGAATAAGAAATCGGAGTCACGAGTTCTAATTCCGAGTCATTATTCATTACACCACCCGCACATCCAAACTTACAACACCTGGTATTCCAAAGCGTTCACTCATCTAAGTACTGACCAGACTCGACGTTGCTTAACTTCAGTGTTTCAACGTGATATAGCTGTAAAGCCTGGGGGCCGATGAGGGATTACGGAAACTATGAAGAGGATGATGGCCTAAAACGTTTGTGGGGGGGGGGTCCCTTGTTCTAGGCAGAATCAACCTATTTTATAACAAACAGGAAATGATTTCATTGTTAAAACTATAGCCACAAATAAAATTATAGCTTTTAGAGAGGAACCACGCGCACGCATAGGGCTATGGATGAGTAAACAAATACAGAAACAGGAATAGAAAGGCATATGCATATATTCATCCACACACCTCCCCATACATATGACAGTATTTAAGCTTGAAGTCTATATTCATTAAAGAGGGTTACCATTGTACAAGAAAATATTCTTTGCTATTTCTGAGTCAAGACAACGTAAAACCTCGCAGATAGGACCGAGTTATTCAGACTGCTAAGATGGCTTCCAATTGAGTTTACCGAATGCTAGAGGCTATCGTTAAAGATTAGGAAGAAACTCGTAGCAACAGAGGTATGGTTCTACAGAAGGATGCTAAGGATACCACAGACCGAACATGTGAGCAACGATGAGGATTTGGAGAAGATGCAAATAAGGAGGAAACTTAACATCAGAAAGAGGCAACTGAAATTTCTAGGACACGTAATGAGAAAGGAAGGCTTGGAAAATCTGATACTTACAGGGCGGATAGAGGGAAAGATGGACAAGGGGAAGCAATGCGTGACATACTTAACGGGTTTAAGCAAGTGGAAGACAGAACAAGAAAGAAATAAAAAGACAAAACTTATTGGGATCTACAAGGAACAGGAAGAAATGGAGAGCCATGATCGCCTACGTCCTGAAGGGACACGGCACATAAAAGAAAAAGATGTGACTTCCAAATTGCTTTATCTGTCTCATCCTTCAAGCTTAAAAACAACACTCTCAATATTCAGCCATAACGCTCCCTCAATACCCCCGCCTATGACCAGAGATGCACAGTACAACATCCCCTATGGGATATGCCCAACTGGTTAAATTCTAGCAAGAAATCTGTGATACTGAATGTGATATTTACTGTAGGATAACTTATTTCACCCAGGCAATTATGTACATGCTAACAGCACCAACCCATTAAGATCAGAAGCCATGAAACCCTGCCTGTTGTCATTTTATTATTTATAACAACAACACTTTTTAAAAAGCAACGTTTATTTATGTATCCAAGGAATCAAAGTTAGAATTAAAAATATACACAATAAATATAGTCGAAGAAGAATTCCTGATTTACAAACGCCTGTCAGATTACTTATTTATTTACGGGTTATCAACTCTTTGTGAATATGTTGGATTATTGACACTATTTAAATTCGGACTATTGCTCTAATCTTTCTGTTATCACAAAGTTTCGGTCGTTCTGCCCTCAAGCCTTCACCAGGGAATTTTGAACTGAACACTTTATTTAATCGACGGGAGTATACTGTTTTTCGTTCTACTCGTCATGCCAAGGGATGAATGGTCTAGTTCTTATGAACATTGTGATAACAACAACAAAGATGAGGACAGTAGACCGAGTGTAAATAGTGCAAATAATGATAACTTATCATCTCAGAAATTGTGTTGGATTGTAAGAAAATTTGGGGGGGGGCGTCGGGTGAGGAGGGAGTGAATACTTATTTTTTTCAGATACAAGTCCTACTATTTAACCCACAGCTAGAGAGAGGGAAGATGGATTCATGCCTTTTCCAAAGGTTACTTACGCATAAGTGAATATAAAGAAGCCGATTGAAATTAGAATTCAGTTCTCTGATTTTTTTTGTTCCGAGTCGCTATCTAATCCATTACCCCTTCCCGAACATCTACTGTCAGATGAAGAATATTATTGTAATGTTTTCTTTGTACAAAATAACCGAGAATTAGGAACAACGGAGAGAGTATCGAAACAACTGAAGACAAACTGAGGAAAACAAAGTGATTTATTAAATACTCCTACATAGACCTCTATTCCTAAATCAACTATACTTAAAAAAAAAAAAAAACCCTACTCTAATGTGGCTACGTGCCACATTTATAAGTAGGAGCAATCCATTATCAGTAGTAGGGAAGAGAAGGAAGTAGCCTGAATCCTACTCTACAATGGATATCCTCTTGTAAAATCTTTTGCCCAACAGTTAATCATTTTCAGCACAAAGTTTTTCGCTTTTTAGAAGACCTTTTCAAAAAGGAATCATAATAAACCTGGCAGTCTTAACTGATCGACATTTACAGGCAATTTTGATGAAAGGAAGCACAATTTTATCTGTTTTATCTCTGGGAAAAGAATTTCATTCTTTGAATCTTGATTTTTAACATTACAGCGAAAAGAACTGTATTAAAGTTTTCAAACGTTATTTAATAAGCTTTTAAAATATGATTTAAAAAATACTGTTATCTTCGTTATTATAAATATCCATATATCTACTTTGAGCTTGTCATGATCCACAAGTCCCAGAAATTATCAAAGAAATGTTTGCCAACATCTGTCGTAGCTTCTATAATTAGGTATTAATCTTCAACCTGCTGTGATTACGATTGAGAGACAGCATTTCAAAGGAAAAGTTTTATTTGGTAAGAAAATTTAACATAAATTTAATGTAAAACGTTTCATTCATAAATATGTAGACATTTTTATGAATGGAACATTTTACATTAATTCGGAGATCTAATTTTTTTTTTTCAAACTTGTCTTTTTTTAAAGAAATGTATGCAAGTTAATTTTTAAATGTTTTAATTAAATCGAAATGAATTTTGGATATGCAACTTCATAGCACGCAGACATATATTAAGTACCGCCAAAAAACTGATAAGAAAAGAAAAATACAAAAATCTTTCTTGAAGCTTTTATTTCAGTTTTAATTTCAAATCGAATTTAAATTGATTAGAATGTATTTTCTTTTTGTTTGTTTTTTATTATTATCATTAAATTTGTTCATATTGATAAATCTGTCAGCATAATTATCTTTATTAAGGATCTTTTAAAAAAAATAAAATATACTTTTATGAAACATTATTCTTGGAAAATCAACTGATTTACAATTTAATTAATCTGAATTGTGTTTTGAACATTTTTTTTTTTTTTTCATCAAATATGCTTAATTTTTGGAAAATCTTTAAAGGTAACTAATATACAAAACAATTTCGAAAACCTGTCACTAAAGAAATAGGTTCCTCACTTTAAAAAAAATGTTCGTTCTCTCGCGTCCGGAATAGAACATGATTGAATAAAATTATTTAAACATTGTCGTTTTAATTTTAACTTACCCATTTATATCCACCATTAATTTAATTTTTTTTTTTTTTTTTTTTTTTTCAATTTTCTATGTTTATTTGTTTTGGTTTTGCAATGTACCCGATTTTTTTTACTCAAAATAAATAAATTTTAATTGAATTTTCTAAAAAAAAAAAAAAAATTCTAAAAAAAATTTATTTTCCATTTTTTTTTTTTTTATTTTTTAAACCTTTCCATATTATTAGTAAATTCTCTTTGTCGAATTAATACAAAATCTAAAAAGATTTAGTACAACTTACTCATTTATTCAAGACTTAAACGTAAGAAAAAACAATTTGTGTCTAAAATGCATTATCCATTGAAAATAGATTTTAAATAGTTAAAAAAAAAAAAAAAATAATTACGAAATCTTTTTCTTTAAATTTTAAAATGTCATCGGTTCATTCCGACAGGAAAAATAATAAATGTGGTAAATAAGTCATTCTGCAATAGATATTTTGACGACAACTATCTCTTTATGGTTTTATTTTCCAAGTTTCTTTTTTTAACAGTTGTTAAAATAAAGAAGACTGAACCTCAATGAAATTTTTAATTTCCCAAAATAAAATTAAGCTTAGTAAGTAAAAACTTCGTTATTATTTAAATCATTTTGGAGGAGACCTTTATTTTCTATCAGGCAAGTGTGTTGTTTTTTAACATTAAATATCCGTTGGACGATAAATTATACTGCTACAGTATTGCAATTTTTTTTGGCCCAACCTTGAAAAAAAAA